CTTCTTTATTATTATCTATAATTATATTATTATTATTATTATTATTATATTATTATTATTATTATTTATTATTATTATTATTATTATGATTATTATGATTATATTATATATTATTATTATTTATTTTATATTTATTTAATAGGTATTATTACAGACAAAATTTAGTTAAAACCTTGATCCTAGTGCTAGCCGAAGTGCCTTTAAGCCCATTACAATACGCTCACATTCGCTTCGCGTTTCTAATCCCTTTTCGAATTCTGGTATTCACCCAAATGCGTCTTCTCCATCGCATCAAAGCCGCGCGAAAAAGACCAAGGTACGGCTCAGGAAAAAAACCCCCTGAGGCGGAAAAACCTGCCGTCCATGATAAGCCGATACATTCTAAATTTATCCTGACGTTTTATTGTTTTAAGCTTTATTTTATTTTCTCTGGCGTGGCGTCCCGCCGTCTCCTTCCAGTGCTATGCGCCTCCTACGCTCAGCACCGTCTGAATATCAAACAGCGCCTATCATGAGACTTATCTCGCGGCACCCAGACGGCCTTTCGTGCCCTAATAATTTATATTTTTTATTTTTCTGAATCCCCCCTTACGCAGACTATATTATTGATTTATCATCTACTTAATTACTTTTTATTATTTATTATATTATGTACATTTATTCACAGCATCTTATCTGGTCGATATGTCAAACCACACACAGGTATGATGACCAAGTGTGTGGTGCTTTAAACTGAAGTCAGATCTGGCTTTGACAATAACGGCATGTATTCAAAAATTTACTGTCTTTGCCTATTATATACATTCCTGGTATCCAAGTGAAGACACTCCATGCCCGATAGTGTCATTTTCGGATCACTCCCTTAGCTGATATTATCTATAGAGCAACAGTTGTCACTTTACGGAAGTTCCACTGAGTTGCACTTCATGAGCGCGAGATCCGGTTACCTTCTGGTCTTCTCTTGATACTTTCCCGATTATTGTACGTATTGCCGGTATTATATTATCGATCAAGAAAACCTGCTGTTGTTTCTATCAATTGTACGTCTATGATCGAAGGTCTATTGCCGCCGACATGTCTCTCCAGTGATAATGGACCGATCCCAGTAGAGGAGTGTGTGCTCACTACTATTCAAGGCACATTCTGCAGCAAACATATTTATATTACGGCCACGGTAAGATGTGCGAGTAAAAAACGCCGTTTCTCAACGCCAATTAATTGGTGTTACCTGCCTTCCGCCACTTCTCATGCCTCTTTTTGTATTCCACCTGTGGCGGTGGCTGCTAACACTCCACTTGTCACTGTTGCGATATTTCGCTGTGCAGCCTCACATCTTCTACACGAGTCGAATGAAGGGTTAGCATTTCTCAGGAATCGTGTTTTCCGTAGGTTCAATAGTTGGACACTTGGCTCCTGGCATAGCTATCATGAAGGCTTTCTGTCTCCGGAAAGAGATCCCGCGCTGGAGCCAATGCGTGCCGACGAGAGATGTCGACTTCTGGTTTACTCAGCTTCGTGAGGGTACCTTCCATGCAGTGCCTTTTGTGTCCATAAGATTATCTTCTCTTCCGTCTTTCACATGATTGGCTTGAACATGTACTTATTATTATTATTATTATTATATTATTTATTATTATTATTATATTATTATAGTATTATTGATTATTATTATTATTATTATTATTATCCCAGTTCGATCTCAATGTCGTCATGATCCTGCTCCCTGCCTGGAATGAGTAGGATGGCATGGGTAGGTTCACTACTACGATCATGATGCTGGATTATGATCCGGAACTGACTCCCAATCGGTTAGGCATACGGGGGCGGATGAGGCGGACAATGGGAACGGGCCAAAGACCCGAGGAAACCTACCGCAGACTTCAATTCGAAACACCGCAGAATAGTTTTGAAGTTTATAGCTTCTTGTAGCTAGAGAGCTGGGGGTAAGTTATTTGCACTTTGACCTAACAAGTGCTTCATTACAAAAGTGCCTTATACGAGGTCTTTGCAGAGAGAGTGAGAGGATGAGAGAGAGAAAAAGAAGACGAGAGAATCGATCAGACCATCTGCCGGACAGTTTGAATGCAAGATGAAATGCCCGCTCATCGTTAGACGAGAAATAGGATACGACAAGTGGGATGAGAGGGCGGCCGAGATGTTTGCGGGAGCAACTGATAGAGACGAGAGTGAGAGACAGGCAGAGTGCAAAAGAGTCCAAGAGAAGCATCATCAATTTCAAGAGGATAGGAGAGTCAAGAGAGAGAGGGAAGAGGGGCGACAGAAAGGATCAGACATGAGGACAGGTCTTGAGAAAAACAGAGAAAAGCTACAGAGATTTAAAAACTATAACCCAAGAGCAATGCGACTTATGTTTAGAAGAAGAAAGGACAGGAGATCGGTCAATGAGCAGATGAAAAGTCATCTGACGCCAAAGCCAACTAGAGAAGTAGAGAGCAGCTGAAGACGTACCGTCAGCACCCAGCCGATGATGCGCAGCAACTCTCCACGCGCAGGGCACGAGCAAAAAGCCGAGCACATTGGTTCGCCGGGCGGGTCATGAGACGCGGCTGAAGCTATCAGTCTCTGCCCTATTCTCAAAAGAGAGAGTGGGAAAGAGAGAGTGGGAAAGAGAGAGTGGGAAAGAGAGAGTGGGAAAGAGAGAGTGAGAAAGAGAGAGAGATCGTGAGATATATTCCAAAGGGTGAGAGGAGCAGGGAGAGTGTGTGAGAGAGCGAGGGGAGCAGAGAGAGAAAGAGAGAGAGAGAGAGAGAGGAGATAGTGAGGTTTAGAATTGGTGGGGCAGAACAAAGGGGAAACGGAGAGAAAGAGAGATAGAATCGAAAGGTCATTGCGACAGTTTGAACGCAAGAGAAATGCGCCATCGTTAGAGAGAAATAGGGATAGAAAGTGGGAGATAGGGCGCGAGTGAGGAGAGAATGATTAGAGAGGAGTGAGAGGAAATGGAGAGTGGACAAAAAGAGTCGCAACAAGAGAGCATAATAATTTCAAGAGTAGGGAAGTCAAGGGAAGAGAGGGAGAGAGGACAGAAAGGATGCAGAATGAGGACAGGTTGAGAAAAACAGAGAAAAGGCTACAGGAGATGGTAAAAACTTATAACCAAGAGCAATGCGACTTTGTTAGAGAGAAGAAAGGACAGGGAGATGGTCAGAATGAGAGAGAAAAGTACTGACGAAAGGTACAGAGGAGGAGGGGGATAGTGGGAATGGACGAGAACTTCCACACAAGAGCAAAACCACACATTGTTCGCATGAACGCGACTTGCCGCCGACCACTGTGCGTCCGCTCGCAGCTCCGCGCACCCCCTCCTCCTCCCCTTCCCCAAACCCCCATCGGCCAGCACCACCCTCCCCCATCCCCGCATCCACGCGCTTCGCACATTAGCGCGCGAGCGAGCACGCAGATGGGGTGCGGGTGCTGTTGACTTTTTAATTAGCGCGCGCAGTTATCTACACGGGGCGGCGGGGCGGGGGTGAGGGTGTGGGTGGAGGTGGGGGTGGCGCGAGCGCCAGGCTGCCGCGTCTCGCGGAAGGAACTCCGCCGACTGCCGGCGGACCGACTGCCTACGTTTAGTCGCGTG